TTAACACACAGCAGGAGGTCAGATCTGACAACAGGTTAATGTGTGGGCTAGTCCAGAGGTGCCAGCAGAGCTACTAATGTTAATTCAACTCATGTAATCAATCCACGACTCAACCTCAAAAAAGAGTAAGAAAAACTGGTCTCCTATGTACGTTCTGAGTTGACATAACACTAGATTTATTTCATCACTGAGCAAGCTCATGCCAACAAGCTCATACCAGCAGGGAATTAAGTAACATTTCATTTGCAATGTGCCATTGTGCATTTTCTGGAAACTTTTATACCAGTAAGTTCATGCTTACACATACAGGATGCTAAAAATCACTGAAACTGAATCATTTAAAACTCTAAAGTTTGAGGATATTTAGATGGTTTATGTTCTAAATACTGTGCTTCAAAAATGTATCTGGTCACCTGAAGAGATGCTCTGTTTCGCCAGGGCAGTGCTGATTCGATGATCTTTTTCTTTTCATTTGCGTTGGCTGTTTAATCAGTGGTGGGTGTGCCGTACTTGAACTTCAGTAACAGCCCTGTGAGCACTTCCCTGTCAAGCCTGATCATGGAGCCTGATCAGTCTGTTATTTCTTCAGACGATGCTAATCAGTGATGCAGAGGGTGACTCAATTCTTTATCTTAAGTGAATCCTGTTTACGTAAGAGCGTGCAGATGTGTAGTCACAGAGATATCTATAATTTAGTCATAAAAAGGCTGATAGCATTTTAAAACTCTCCAAACGGATTTATACGTAGTCAGTGCATATTCTGAGTTTCATGCTAAATAGTGCTTCAGTTCCTGCTCTTTCTGTTCTCATTGTATACTTCAGATACTTGTAGATGATAGCTTTAAAATCACAAGGGTACTGCTACATCAAATCATGGTTTTACCACTCTGTTTCTTTTTTCTCATGATATAAATCACTAGGTAGTGTGTTGTCATCAACTCTAACAAGAAGAAGCCGTAAAATCTCTTTCCACAACAATTTTAAAGCTTCCAACAGCAGGTTTTTAAAATTTGTACTTTATGTGCTGTTTTTCTGAGTCTAGAGAAGAACTAACTTTGGCAGAAATACTTAAAAATGAAGCTGAAATATTTTAGCAACATAGCTTTTATTTTAAAGCAGAGTTGAAATAATTAACAAATGCAACTCAATTTCTTGCCTTGCCTTTCTGAACATGCACACAACGGTTCATTGCAATGCTGGGAAGCTGGCATAAAGGTCTTTGTAGTTGAAAGAAAAAACTACACCAACATATCCAAGGTCCAGATGTTCTAAAAATTGATATATTACTTTTACAGTTTTATTAAATTAAAAAAAAAAAATAAAGAAGAGATTTACCCAGTGCCAAGGGTATGTTCTTTTGTACAGTAAAGTGCCACTAGATGGAGATGCCTCAACTACAATAATAAAAGAATAAGCTGAAGTACAACAGTTCAAAACTCATGCTATAGAAAAACTGTTGATGTTGGAAGAATTTTAAGGGCAACATTTTATTTTGCCTAAGTTTGGTTATCAATTAAAAAACTCAAAATCACAGAAATATCCACTTTCATCTTTAATCCCATCTCATAAAACTTACTCTGTGAAACAGCTGTGCTAGAGTCTGAGTTTACATGTGGCATATGCTGCATCTTTGGAATTCTTCCTGAACCCCTGCAGAACAACACAATTTTTCTCTAAATCCCATTTATATTTATTCACCAGCTGAAAAAAAATCTGCTTTCTCAAGTATGTGTACAGGGTCTCCGGTTTTAAGGGCTTTCACCTACAACCCAACCTTTTATGTAGCTTTCGGGTACGTTAGATTTTATGAAGAGGGTCACAGGTTGACTTTCCTTGACCTTACCTGTTCTGAAAGAGAAATTGTAATAACAATACTTACCTAATAAACATGATCGGTGTTTTTCTTCATGGTGCTTCCATCCTACAAGCCTCATGGAACATCCTGCAGGATTATTAGTTGCCAATAATTTTGACATCTGTGAATTTAAATTCAAGGGTTCAAACTTGTTCCAGGTGTCATTCTCCCATAGGTGATGATACCTCAGTGTTTGACTGACAAAGGTGCATAATACCGTCAAGGAAAATGAAATAGGAAGGTCAGCCTTCAGAATAATTTTCACTTGGGGAGGTGAATTTTTAGATATTATCAAAGAATTTTCACATAAATAAATTCTTAAGAGAACCTTGTTGATGAAGTGGCACTTTAAAAAGAGAATTTGTTATTTGACAGGATTTTCCTAAGAAAAATCTGTTCCTTAGCATTTTGATTTCTATAGTTGTGTTCTGGGAATACCTCATTTTAAGATTAAAAAATGTGAATTTATTAACTAGATTAGGAAAAGCAAGAGGAGTGTGATAAAAATAAAGCTGCATGATGAAGAAAAGGGATTGAGGGCTGCCGTCAGGGGCTGTTGGAGTAGAATGAAATCACTGTGTTGGCACCTCCGTGTTTTAAAGAGGAATTAGATGACAAGAAGGAATTGATGCAGTAGCCAAGCAGCCGTGCAACTACCCGCTTCTTGACATGCCTTTAAATGCCTTTGAAATTTTGGCTGTTTCACTGTGAGATTGGTCAGGCTAATACAGTTGATTGAGAGTGCATAAAACAAAAAAAGGAAGAAAAGCTTTTCTTAACTTGAAAACTTACTGGAAGCTGTTTTGATTAAAGACATAAAGGAGCTTTCTTACAGGTAGGCTCTTTGTACAGCCTTCTTAACACTTTGATCTCCTTGGTTATGAGTGCTGCTTTAAAATGTCAAGGAGTAATTACATCTAATACCACTTTAGCTTCTTTCAATGATACCAAGAGTTCAGAGGTAAGTTAACTATTTTCCAGTCTTCCAGATGTTTTCTTCTATATAGGTGTGTACGTTCAAATACGGCTTATTTTTTTGAAACGGTGTTTACTTTGCTTAGCTGGAAAGGCTTCCAGAAGACAGCTAGTTATTCTGCATGTTGTCATTTCAGAGCACATTTGTATTTGCCTTTAAGTACTGTATATATTGTTTTCATGACAGGAATTACTACATTTCCACTTGAAAGAACAGGTTGTTCCTGTCATGTTGTGTTCCACCAAAGCATGTTGTGAAACCCTAATAGACCAAATTTTACTGCATATTTGTCTTATGTTCTCATCAGCCATGCCTTCCTTTAGAGAGAGGAGGTTCTCTGGAACTGGAGCTATTAACAGTTTTACATGCTGAAGTGATTCAGACATCACGATTCTGGGTACATTATTTTTCTGCACAGAAAAATAAAGTTTAAAGTACAGTCCTGAGCTGTTGGGTGACACCTGAATTTAAGAAAGGAGCAGCTGCAATTTAGTTGCATCAGCCCTCTCCTGATGTAGAGCAGACCATGTTCCTGCAGGCAACATCTCATGCAGCAGTTACCAATGTTGGTAACACACACCGTATACACACACAGCCTCGAAGAGGGCTGTTGGTTTTGCGTGTAGGTTAAGCAGGGATTGATTTCTACATGGACCCAGTGTTGCAGAGTGAAGGGATTTTCTGCCATGTGCCAGGTGCAGCACTTTCATTGTATGTTGAACATTAGCCTTGTGAAATTCCATGCCTTCAAAGAGAAGGAGTGAAGCCATGAGGGAGCCCAATTCTTGCCAATGCCTCAGATACCTGACATTTGCTGTGAACCTTCGAACAGCCTTTACAAAGACGTAATTTCTGTGAGGCATTCACCAGACCGGTGACCTTTGGAGCACTTAAGTTGCCTGAACGCTACTTGCAGACAAAGTATTTGTCCCCACATTGTGTTAGAATGTTTGGATAGGAAAAAGAAACTTGTCTTCTGCTTGAGCTTTCCATGCAAGTGTTTTCTTTCGGCTTTCAAATTTGGTTCTATAGAGTAACCCTGTTTACCACACCTTGTGCCATAGGTCTCCGAAACAATTTCCATTCATAGGTCCTCATGCCATGCAGGACAGACTCTGGTCTCTTAAGTTAATAGATGAGGAAATCACGCTGGTAAAAGCCCCAGGTCTGCAAGTTATTCGTTGTAAATGGCTGTCTAGACTAAAAGATGAAGTAAATCAAAACACTCACTCCAGAGCACATAGCGTGGGGCCACAGGAACTCCCAGCCTCCTCCTCTGGGCAAGAGCCATTTCCAGCCCACAGTAGATGAGGAGGGAGTAAAATGACTTCCTTCCACTGTATGCAATAGGAAAAGGGCTGGGACATCCCTTATGCAGTGGTTCTCGGGTTAGGAACTCCTCTTCCCTTACACAGTGATGAGCTGCACTGAGACTTAGGCATGGTCCTTCACTTCAGTGTCTGATGAGACATCATAACCGGTGTATCATAAGAACATGTATGGAAGAAATAATTAGAAATCTAAGTAATCTTCTTCATAAGCTTCTCTCCCTCAGAGGAAATGGAGCTCTTCTAAACATCTGCATGAGCCTGGTTCCTTAGCAGAGAAAATAACCAGCCAGAAACAAAACAACAGAATTCTGAGTCTTTAGCCACTGGCACAGCTGGGCTGCTGCTGGCTGCAAGATGTGGCATGTGAACACCAGTGCGCAGCGGTCGGCGCTGGCATCACTTTCTGGAGGGGACGTTGTCAAGTACAAATGGCATCGAAATCCTCGCTGGCAACCAAGTTATGGGAGATTTCCAAAAATAGTGTAAAACTGATCTCAAGTCAGGGAGTTTCTACAAAAAGGGAACTGGGATAAGCGGATGCACATTGTGCCAATAAATTCTGGGCTGTACGTCCGTTCTTCATTATTTTGAAATGTTGTCTTTGATGGGTGCGTGTTCTGGTGGGCAGACAGGATTGCAGATGGAGACCTGGGTTCATAAAACGGGGAAAGCGTTCATGTTAACAGGTAATCACGTCAAGATTTGCTTTCCCTCCCTCCGGCAGCCCTCTGCCTCTCCCCTTCCCTCACCAAACACACCCACCCACCCATACAGACGCAGGCTGCCCCGGTGAGACCCCAGCCCAGGGCTCGGCGGGCGCTCGGTGCCTGCTGCAGAGAGAGGTGGGGCTGCCACAGCCACATCCCTCCCGCCTTCCCTCTGACCCGAGTTCACGCTGCTGCTGCTGCTGCTGCTTCGCCGGCGGCAGAGTCGTCCCTGTGCAGTGTAATCCCGACATCCTCGGAGCACCCAGCAGCTGTGGGCACTTGCAGCCCCCTCAGGAATTCCTTTCTTTTTCTCCAAGTGGCTGACTACTGTTGTTTCAAGGCTGCTGTTTTCCATCTCGTCACAGAAACACGGTAAGTGTAACTTCAGCTGTGGCTCTTCGGTTATTGCCTTTGTGAAAGTCATCTGTCATCTGCTGAATAGTAAGAGTTACCAGCTCAAAGTCTCTGTGAGGCTTGTTGTGGTCTCTGCTCCTGCTCGAGGTGTTCAACTGAACCCTTGGCATTTTAGTTTTTAGCTAGATTAAAACATGAAATCCAAACAACTCAAAATGTTGGTGGCTTCCTGGCTGTCGTTTTCCTACTTTGTAGCCAAATTGCTTGTGTGTCCTTCCTCTAAATGCTGGTGCCTAGGGAAGTGGAAGTAAGAAGAGAAGCATTTCCATCCCTGCTTATTGGCTGGTGCCAGTTTTCTAACAACCCAAGGAAGAGACACTTTAATGCATATTCATAAACTCTCAGGATGCTGAGGCAGGTAATCCTGCTGCCTGCTGAAAATGGAGATAGCAAGTGGAGTTTTAGAAAGGAGTTAGATTGGGGGGTATCTGTCTGTCTCATCCCCTTCAGTCCTGAAGGTGAGGTAAAGGAACACATGAGTTTAGGGACCCCAGATGGCTGCAGCAGTGTAGTGGCACATTCAAACAAAAAAATCATCCCAGAACCACAGCAAAAGGGCCTATGTCAAGCTGTCCTGTTTTCTGACCCATCTTGGTATGACTGTGCACTCCATGGTGTCACCTCAACTCTGTCTTCTTATAGACAGTTCACATATATGATGTATTATCCGTGGGTTATCTGCTCTTTAATTGCATCACTAAGAGTTGCAGAGAGGATGTCAGTGCATTAACACTTTGAAGACATCATAGACTAACTTTTCATATTGCCAGTGCCCAAAGATGTTCTGTGTGGGAGAGCACACTTGCAGTTCTGGCCAAGTTCCCAGTAAAATTTGCACAGTTGCACAAAACATCGCCTTGACTCTGCACAAAACCTCACATCATTTTGTAATTGTATTCTACATTTTGATTGGGGATCGGAAATGGTGGGAATGAGCATTTGACATGGAGTTGATTTAGGACACCAAAATATGGGGCACTATCTGGGAGTCTTGACAGTCATCTTTTTCTTCAGACTTCTTCCTGTGTTTGCTTGTCTTTTTTTTTGGTTTGTTCTCCCCTTTTTGTTTACTCTCCTCTTCCACTGCACTTTATTGTGACAGGAAGGACTGAGAAAAAAATTATCAGGTATTTTAGTGATGTTCTGTCTAAATCTGCTTTGAGCGTATGGAATATGCATCATAGGAAAACTGCAGCTTTCCAGAGGGAATCCATGTATAATAATAACTACATGTTCTGTAGCGTTTGAAGTTCTCATTATGCCTCCTGTGTTATTACTCCTTCCATCTCCAGTTCTCCAGACAGTTTCTGTGTTTTGTATACATGCCAGAAATAACTGTGCCAAACGCTTGCTTATTTTCTAACATTAAGCCAGAAAGGAGTATGCCTTTTTCTGGTCTTGCAGCAGCTAGTGAATGAGTTCATAACCTGCCTATGCTTATCAAATACCGTGTAATGGTCTGGTTTACTGTTCCTTCGTTACCACTTTTCTGAGTTGGACTGCTCCGTGAAAGACTGGCTATTTATAACTCTGTTACTTCTTTGCAATCATTTAAAAGAGAATACTGCTAGGATTCTTTCAGCATCTGCTATTAATCTGATTTTACTGATGATACAAGCACAGGAGTTTAAGGGAAGAAGTCTTGAGCTCAAGGAGCAGTTGTGACACAGGTTACGGTCACTTCAAACTTTCTGCTTCAGGTTTTCATGTTCTAAGCAGCATTAAGAATTTCTAGGTGCAAATCTAGCTCCAGCGTTAGGGTTCATTGACTGGTATTTGTTCCATGGTTTGAAAATAAATATTTTTCTGTATATGTGCATAAATCATCTCTTGGGGTATCCTTGAAAGGTATATGAGAATGAACTACATAATGGCAGAATCACTGTGATTTTGTACACTTTCTTTCAGGTATCTTCTTGGAGTATGGAATCCATATGGAAACGAAGGTGGTATCTTCAGCTGGGCTGTATATTGATACTGAATTTGGTTTATGCCAATCTAGACTATCAAAAAGAGACTCCTCCAAGCCTGGGTCAGATTGACCATCAGTGCTGGGAGCTGTCGTCCCATGGGCTTGTGGAAATCAAGAAACTCAAGGTAGCAGATACCGTCATTGCTCTCTGGGACTTCATGATGTTCCTAAAGGAATCCCCTAAGCCCAAGCACAATGAACTCTTCAATGATTTAGCCCAGAACTTCTGGGATATGTATGTAGACTGTGTGCTCTCAAGATCCCATGGAATGGGCAGAAGACAATTAATGTCTCCCAAATATTCTTCCACATACTCACATAGAACTTTAGAAGGTAACTACAGGTTATGGTGTTAGTCTGCTATGTACTAACATAACTGAACCACTTGTTCCATCCTCGTCCTTGATTATTTAGACAACTCAGTATAGTCATTTCCAGTTTTCTGTCTCTATTTGTCAAAAGTATTTGCATCTTTCAGTGGTAGCTACTTTCACAATACCTGAGTCAAAAATACTTAGGGTACTACAAGTGTAAAAGATGTTGGGTAAGCATGTGGGAGTGTGTGGAAATGGATGTTGCATTCTCTGTTTATCACTGTGTGCATATAAATGACATCACAACACTAAAAGTTTCCTGACATTTGGTCTTCAGTCTCAACTTGGGGGAATCAACCCTCTGTGGGAAGGGAAGCCCAAATCCCTGACTGCTTGAACCCTGTTCTTCCCATTAAAACTATTGACACATAGTGTGATCTCGTGGTCACTGTGAATCATCAAACAGTGACAAATTCTGGTCATCGTGGTTTGTGATGAACTGAGATCACATAGGTGATTGGCTTTATATCTTGTTATAATCCAATCCTAGATCTGTGTGCTTCCTTCCTCCTCGGCAATAAACATTTTTCTGATGTACCCAGTCAGATGTTTTAAGCTTCCATACTGAGATCATCTAATCCTAGCATTCCTAAACATATTGCTTGGAAAATAACTACCTTTCTTTCATAATCTTGCAGGGTCTGCTTTCACCAACCCATTTTAGTCCAAAAGGGGAGAAAATGAAGATACCTCAGCAAGGCAACATCAAAATGAAGAAGCACAAAAGCACAGCATGTACTGTAGATGCTTAGACAAATCCATTGGCATGGTTCAACCTTTTTTTTCCCCTCTGTATAAAGAAGTACTTAATCTGCTGAACTGATAAGTACATGGGCTCCCATACTGTCACTTTGGCTTTCCTGTCTTGCAGTCTACCAAGGTTGCCTTTTCCCCACTGCATGTGTGAATGCTTTTGTGTTTTGAGTCAACATCTTTGTTCTCTCAGGTAAACTTGTAAGTCTGAACCGGTGTCGTATTTTTGTAGAGGCTCATCTTTTCCAATAATTATCTTTTTTAAAAGTTAATTTTGATGGAAACCCAATATATTTTTATATGTTAAGCAATGGAGAAAATGTCAACAAACATTTTATACAGTGTCTTGCATATACAGTCAACTTTACTTTTAAGAATTGCAAAAAAGTGTGACATCAAGCTAGAGGGAAGGATTATGCTCATTGTAATGTTCTGTGCAGTCTAAACTTTGCATTTTGTCACTGCTTAGTCTAGGCTATGGATTAATTAAAGTATTTTTCTATGCAACAAGGTCTGAATAGTAGTCATTTTCTTGTCAGCATGTCATTTGCAAAGCCACTACTACATTACATTAAGAAACAGTAATTTACACAAGAATGCTCTTTATTTACACATTCTTACAGGTAACTAAGGTGATACAATCCGTCCCTGTCATAGCAGGGATCACAGCTGAGAAGAGACCCATGCATCAAGTGGTTTGAAAGAGAGAGAGACTGGCTTGACTACTGGTCCCATTGTAAGAAACCATCCAGCATGGGTAAACTAATTCCAGGAGATTAACCATCTAGTTAATCCATTTTCTTCTGAGTACAGAAAGCCTAAGAGCAAATGGGAACACTCAAAGATGCTGACTGTTCTCAGCTTTACTTCTTGGGAAATGCAGTTTGTTCAGTCCCTGTTGTGTTCTAGCCTTTTATGAGGTCCCAGCTGGGTTTAATTATTGTAGGAAACAGTACTTACACAGTAACAGCATATAAACCTTCATAAGTAACAAGAAATCCATCCCACATAATGCCTAGCTCATACACTGTTCGTAAAATATCCAAGAATTCTCACAGATTTGTGAATGTTCATTTAGGTAAATACAGTATTGAACTGCGTCTTGTAAAATATTTCCCCTACAGTATTCTGGAGAGGGCACAAGTAGTGAGAAATTTCTCTTACCCATGAATATCGCTGCAAGTTCCTGATATGAAAAATATTTTAAATACACCTTTTCTTTTGAGCAGAGGGAGTCATGACACACTCAAACCCAGCAGTTTCAGGATTTGATACATCATGATGAGCAGCTTTTTGAGAGCCATCATCTAATCTGTTCCAGCAATATCCAGTTTATAAAGCTGTGTATTGTATTGTATTGCATTTGCAACAAATAAAGTGTTTTAACTGTCATAAACCAGATAAATAAATTCCCCTTGTTCACACCTACAGATAATTTTATTCATCACCTACAGAAGTGCAAAACTATAATAACATTTTAACATTTCTCTAGGACACAAAGGTGCTTATCACCTGGCTCCAGAATGCTTGAACTATCTATGGCTATGGCCACCCTGCAGCGTCTGCCAAAGGGGCAGGTGATTGTGCACAAAACAGGAACACAGAGCCGTAAGCGGCAGCAGCAAAACAAATTCCAGGTGGACGTACCCGTTTTGGCTATGAGAGCGCCATGGAAAGGCAGCTGGCTGCTCCTGGGGTCTCTGCAAGAGGGATTCACAGTGAGTGGGATCATCTTTTCCTCCAGCAGTATTCAGCACTCCTCCTCTTTCCATCCCTGGGTTGCAGCAGGAACAGCAAGTCCAGTTTTCTTGCATTCCCTCCCTGACAGCCAGACCACAGTTGATGTTTGGCTGGCTGTCAAAATCAAATGCTGTCTATGCTGCTGTGAAGCCTTGTGTTAGTGTTCAGTGATGAGTATAAATGTAAGCATTTCGGGAAATTCTGTCTCCTTCCTTCTCCAATCTTTATTAGAATTAATGAGCATTTGCAGCTACTTGCCTACAACGTCAGGGTGTCTGCACCAAGAGCACAGTGCAGTTGGGGGAGGAATGCTGTGGGGGCTCACTTTGTGCCTGATTTAAAGCTTTTACATAAGCATAAATATAAACTGATTTCTAGTTAAGAGATCTTTTGTATTCATGTCTTGGCTACACTGTACTGCTGTAGCTTTTGCTTAGAAATTGGAAGGACTTACATGAGTCCTGTATGGTTTTTTTGAAAAAATGGGCCAGTGCCTTGCTGCCAGTAGTAATGAGTCACCCACACATTGACATGTACAGAAGCATATAAAAAAATCTCTGAATTTCACAGTCTTTGTTCTCCTAGTTAAATATTTATTGCTTGGTTTTAATTGTGAAAAGACAATGGAGCATACTTTTTGTGGCTTTAGTGTGCAGACGTATTTTCACATTCTCTAAAACAGTAATAAAGCAGCATAGCTGCTGAAGAGTTGTCAGAGAAATATAAACATCAACAACTGAGCAAGACTTTACTTGACACAGAGGAGTTTAGTAAGATAATCTCTATATACCTTAGCTTACCTTTCTTGCTGCCAGGCAAGAAATACACATACAGGCTTGTTTAAGAAAACATACAAAAACTTTACACAGATAATTTTGGGGAAAAAAAAGTCATAATGAAACAAGATTATACTTAAAAATTATCAGTTAGCAAAGGGCCAGCATAAAAATTAAATTGAATTAGCATAACTCAATTTAATTTCTCTAGCTTTAAGTACCAGATGTCTGTTTAACAGACCTGCTCATACGAAAATGCTTCTGATCTTTGGAAACTAAGCGTGGAAATTTCTCTGAAGTTTCAGTACCATTTCATATGGCTGTTTTGTTTTATTTAAATATTTTCTTCGGGTTCTCCTCTTCATAGAATTTAGGTTGGCAATTTTTAAACAAAAATCTCAGCACTGCTGTTTTGTTACAGGGACAAACATTTTTTTGAGAAACGCTTATACACATCCCACCCATCTCTCTTTCAGGAAGTAAAAAAGGGAGTTGGAAACTAAGTTCTACCTGTTTAGCTCAAATTTATTTCCATTTTTCAAGTTGGCATTTAACAAAGTGAAAGCTTGTACTTTTCTCAAAACATTGCTTACAGGCAAAAATGACAGACTACGTGCCAGAGCTTGTGTGTCACAGAACCCCTTGCAATGTCACAGCAATTTATGCCATAGCACTGGGTAGCACCTGGTTTTAAAATGAAGTAACAGCCTCAGGGAATCTTGCTTTACTGTAATATAGTAAATTCTGGCTTTGCCCAAGTTAGGAAAGGAGACAACTACTTAGAAACTGAGTCATCCACAAAAAGGTCTGCTGCTTACAAGTTTGTGTTGGTATTCTAGAGGTGCTAGAGTAGAAGAGGATGAGTTCTTATTGGAGACAATATGGGCAATAACCCAAGAAATAGTTAGAAGAGTAAGATCAGTTAAAGAGCTATGAGAAACTCATGAGGAGCAGGACATTTCAGCATGTCTCTCCAGTAGGCTCAGAGAAACTGTTGGCACAGACAAGCTTCTCAGTGAGTCTTTAGATTAAAACTGAGGTAATAGAAGTCAGAAGTCCTGATGCTAAAGGCAACAACTCAAGAAACAAAATGGACTCAGGAAAAAAAACACATGGGTATGGTATCCAGGAAAAAGAAGAACTGAATGTGTTTATGTGAAGGTTCATCACCCTGCTTAAAGAAAGATATGCTTAAACTGTAATATGCGGAATGTGTCAACAAGAGCTGGAAATCTAAACAGTGGAGCTACTGACAGTGGATGAGGGTAACCTAACACTAGCACACAAAATTAGACTCAACATACCTTTGTATCATACTGTACAGGGTACTTTATTAATAAATCATCCCCACGTTTATATTAGTTATGACAAAATGCAATTTTAGTCTCAAGATGTTCTATGCAATTCATCAAAGCATTACAAACAGATTTTATCTTGTATCTTAACTATACATACAGTTAACTAAAATATTAAAAGCACTGTTCAGAACACTGTCTATTCTACAGGTACCGAATCCTTCTTGACTGAGTCTAATGTTTTAACTCCTTTGATCTTTTTTAAGGCTCCTTCACAAACAGGGGGCTTTCTAAGAGCAAGGTCTGTAACAGGCAGTGGCCCTCCAATTAATTGAGGAGGTGTACTTTCAACAGTTACTAAGCGACCAGATCCAATCTGAAAAACAAAATAAACGTATTGGTTGACATTGATGTTAGCATTTAAAATGAGATGAGAGTTAAATCATGAACTGCCTTTCAAAAATATTATTCAGCTGGTAGAGAGGGATGCTGAGATTTCCGTGGTCCACTCAAACTATCCTTTATACTAAATTCACAAATTGTTCTCATCAATACAAAGGAAAAGACAGAGTGTTTTTTCAGTAGGTACCTTTATGTACTCTGCTTTTGTGCCATCATGTCTGATCTTATGAATAGAGGAAAAGAAAATCAAGTCTTTATTACAACAGGAGTTTGTTGTCCAATGTTATTTGGATTTGTATATATCAGCCACAGTTTTTGTCCTCAGAATTTCACTATACATTAATACTTCAAAGAAAAAAAAGGGAGCAGACCCAGTTTCTCTCTGCTTCAGGAAAACTCCAAGATTGAGAGAGACATACACTTTGCAGTCTCATTACTACTTTTTATACTGAATAGGTATAGGCCTTTGAATAAAAATCCCTGAGTAACACCTCTATCTTCTAACCACGACCTACTAAAACAAACAATGTGACTCTTTGAGTGCATGTGGCTCACAGGTTTTATTACTTGACCTTGACTGGTTTGCAACAACCATATTAGCTTAATTTTCATCTCTCCCTACTACGGGTGTTTGGCAGAGAGAAGGAAAGAAGATTGTTCCACGAAAAAAATTGCCAGCCATATCTGTCATTTGTAATCCTTCTAAGCAATGTACCCAAGGAATTTTATCTGATGTTGCTGATGTGTTTGTTTTCTTAATACACTTATTTTGCAAAATGGACTAACTTTTACCTTGTTTTTATCTACAGTTGTTGAAACATTGATTATGGAACCATGAAGATATTTTCTTGTTAGACCTTCTCCATCCAAATAAATGAATAATCTTGGCTCGAGGTCCAAGCCTTTAAAATAAAATCTAACAATCTATTTCTCTCTACTAACAGTTGCTAGAATACTTATGTTTAGATCTAAACTTATGAGATACTTTCTGCAAAAT